TGGCTCAGCACACCCAGGGGCGGGGCCGCATGACTTGTGGTGCCAGGGATGGAACCCTGGTCCCTGTGCTTGCCTAAGCAGGAGCTTGGCCCACTGAGCTATCTTCTGGCCCGCTCTTGAGCCTCCCCCTTTTATTTTTTTAATATATATATTTTGGTTTTCTTTCTTTCTTTCTTTCTTTCTTTCTTTCTTTCTTTCTTTCTTTCTTTCTTTTTGGTGGAATGAGGGATCGAACTCAGGCCCTTGCACTTGCCAGGGAAGCGCTTATTCTACTGAGCTAGCTCCCCAGTCCTATTTTGGTTTTCTTAAAAACAGGGTGTGGGCTGGCAAGATAGCTCAATGGACTAAGCACCTGCTTAGGCAAGTACAGGGACCAGGGTTCCATCCCTGGCCCCACCCCAGGGTGCGCTGAGCCGGTAACAAGTCTGGGCGTTGGGGCGCACGACTGTAATCCCAGCACTGGGAAGGCTGAAAACAGGAGGATCCCTACGAGTCTGAGCTGTGTAGTGAGACCCTGCATGAAATAAAAAGAAAAAAATAAAATAAAAACAAGGTGTCACTATGTAGCTCAGAATGGCCTTGGATTGGAGATCCTCCTGCCTCAGCCTCCCAAATGCAGGCGTAACAGGTGTCCACCACTGCTCTCAGCCACTACAGCATTTCCAAGCAATGCCTGTGTGCTGCTACAGGGTAGCTCTGCCATGTTCCCAAAGGCCCCCAGGTAGCAGCTTCGATCCCCTTCGATCCTTTGGGACTAAGGGCACAGGGCCTACAACAGAAGTGAGGTCATGGGGCCGGGAGGGAACCCACCTTCTGTTTGGCCTGCCCCTGGCCAGGCTGGCCTGGTACCTGCACCGCTGGGAGCTGAAATCTGTCCCTCCCTGGATTCTGTCAGTATTTCCTCCTGGTGACCCCAGATGTGTTGGAGGCGACTTATGCAGAAGTCTGTTGCCTGGGCCCTGAACACACCCCTGGTACTCCAACACGCAGGAGGCCGAGGCAGGAGGATTGCCATGAGTTCGAGACCAGCCTGGGCTACAAAGTGAGCTCAAGGCCGGCTTGAACCTGCAAGACAGCAAGACCCTGTCTCAAAAAGGAAAAACAAACAAACAAACAAACAAAATTACAAAGTGGCTTTTTTTGAGCCGGGTGCTTCTCAGTGGCCACATATCACTATCCCAAGTGCGTGCGAGTCTACCTGACCCATCTTCCTACTGAAGAAGGAGAGTGGCAGGACGAGCACAGGCAGCCTCCGGGCTGCTCGCCAGGAGGACCAGGGTGACCTCGTGATTCAGCGGTCTCCCTCCTGGTCTGTGCCCTCTGGAGCCAAAACAGGTGCTCCAGGAAAACTCCCCAGCTGCGGCTGGTGCGGAGTGCAGACGTGGCCCAGCAGGGGCCCAGAGGAGGCTGACAGGAGGAGCGAAGGGGCTGCCGGGTGGAGCGAGGCTGCTTGTGCAACCCAAGGGTGGGCTGAGCCCCAGGCGCACCTTTGCAAGGGGAAAAGGTGCTTTTTGCACAATAAAACCATGTAAATAAATGACTAGTGAACTGGCAGGCGAAGGAGCCCGCCTGGGCTGGGCCGGACAGCCAGCTTTGGTAGTGAGTACAGAGCAGAACCACAGGGTCTCGAACCCAGGCATCCGGGGCTGCAGCCAGGAAGGGGCAGGGTCGGGATTCGAACTCGGGCCTCCCCATCTGCACTACATTGTAGAGGACCCTTGTTGGCCAGCATATATTTGTAACCCCACAGAAAATCTCGGGATCCTATGGAGGAGATTCAGTGCACACTTCCAGTGCGATCCCTGGCGACAGTAGACACGCCGAGGCATATTTGTAGTGGGGGGTCAGGCGCTCCAAGTCCAGCTAGGGCGCTGGCTAACGGGAACAGAAGCCTCCACCCAGGGCCGCCAGCAGGAGAGTGGCGGGGAGTACGTGCGTGCCTTGCTCTGGGCGGGCAGCGGGCACGGAAAGGAGGGACCCGCCTGGCGCAGCGGCCTGCAGTCGCGAGGTGGCGTCGGGCTCCAGGTTCGTGCGACCTTCCTGACCCTGGGCGGCACAGCCTCTTATCTCGAGCTCCAGCGCTCCCTCCTGCCCGCCTCTCGTGGGAGCCGTGGGGCAGGCAGGGCAGGACACCGCGGACCTGGGGACCAGTCGCCTTGCTCCAGTGCCTACACAGCCGCCGGCCAGCGACACACAGCGCCCAACGCCAGCTGGGCCGAGGAGGAGGAGCAGCGCTGAGACGGGTGTGCGGAGTGGAGCCCCCTGCCTTGCTGGGGACAGCCTCCCGGGGGTCTCCAGTCTGGCCCCACCTCCCAGGGAGCTCGCCCTGTGCCGGCCCGGGGCTGCGAGAGGTCCGTCGGGGCGCCTGGGCTTCTGGCCTTGCGACCTGGGCGTGCCCGGCCCTGCATCCGACTTTGTCGAGCGGGCGTGGAGGTCAGGCGTCTCTGCCATGGAAGTCAGCATCTCAAGCACCGCTCCAGTCCCGCTCCCGACAATGCTCCCTGGAGCCCGGGTCTGGCGCTCCCCGGCCATCCCAGCTGCGCAGGAGGCTGAGGCAGGGGAATTCCAACTTCCAGACCCAACTGGGCAACTTCGGCCCAAGTTTTTAGAAAAGGGCTGCGGATGGAGCGTATGCCAGGGCACTGAGTTCAATCCCAGCCCTGGAAACCAACAACACACAGATCTCTCGCCGCCATCAGGTGTCCTGCCAGGATTGCAAAGCGGGTCACATGCAGGACGTGCAACCCGGCCCGGAAGGTCACCTCTGCCCTAATTTGGCCATGGGGACAGTGCTGCGGTGGGAGGCAGCCTAACCACTGCGGTGGCCGCTGAGGTCACCCCTGGCTGCCTGCCCGCTGCTGGCTCACTCCTGCCTGTCCGCCCCAGTGAGCTCATCGGTGATCAAGGTGGCCATTCCAGGTGCGGCCAAGCGGAAACCTTCATGCGACCCCGCACGCCATGGGACCCATGGGCCTGGCTGCCAGGTCGTCTGGGGGAATTCCAGGAGTAAAGTTAAACAATGACTGCTTCTCCTCTTAAAGGGACAGATGCCTGTCCAGGCCAGCAGCGGTACTGTGAGCACAGCTGTGGACTCCTACACAGCAAGGAAGAAGAGGGAAGCCTCTAGGCACTGTGGGCAGGCCTGTGATCCCAGCTTCTGGGGAGGCTGAGGCAGAAGGATCTGGACTTTCGAGCCCAGACTGAGCAACTTAGTAACTTAGTGAGACCCTGTCATAAAATGAAAAATAAAAAGGCTTGGGATGTAGCTCAGTGTGAAGGGCCTGGGACCAGCATCCAGAGCAGCAAAAAAGAAAAAAGAAAAAAAAACCCTCCTAGCACGCTGATAGGAAACATAGGCCAGGGGGAATTGGAGCCAAGAAGCAGGCCAGTGGCCACAGGGGTGGGGGAGGGGTGGGGGCGACAGCTCACAGGATCCCCTTTGGGGAGTACAAGCAAGATGCCACTGAATTTAGGTCCTGGGGTGACAGTGGCCCAGGCCGGGGACAATGAGAAAGGCTCTCAGTGGCCTCCTGGGACCAAGGAAGTGACATGACATGGAGAAACCCTCAGCCTCTGTGTGTCCCAAGACCCCATAGCCTGCCTGGGCCTGAGTGCCTTTGTCTGAGAAAGGCTGTTTGACACAGTGTCCCGAGCAGCACATTTATTGAGCACCTACTGCGCATCTGGTGTCCCGGTCCCTTGCTGCAAGCCCTTGGGACAGAGCTGGACTGACCTGGGTGGGGGGCCTACAGTCACTGTGTCCCCGCTTTCTGCAAGACGGTAAGGTACAGAGAGGCGTCCCCCACCTCACCCCAGGGAGGATCTGGCTAGGCTGGGGGAGGGGACAGGCGCACCCAGCTGTCTGTCTAGGGCCCAAGCTGTGAGGTTCCCCTGGCGGCCCCCAGGTGGCGCCCTTTCCCAGAGCCCTTGGCCGCCCTCACAGCCAGCGGTGCTGTGGGTGGGGTGTCTCAGGACCCACAAGTAGCAAAGATGACTGGGTAGGCTGAGGCAGGAGGGCCGTGAATTCAAGGTCTGAGGAACTTAGACCGCATTCCTAGTATCCCAGAAACCAAATAAGCCAGGGGAAGAGGCACATGTCTATGATCCCCCCTTGGGAGGCTGAGGCAGGAGGATTGCTGAGAGTTCAAGACTAGCCTGGGCTACACAGTCAGCTCAAGGGAGGGTGAGACACTAGCCCAGATCACACAAGAGTGGAGCCTGTGCTGGGACTTGAAACGGGGTCTGTGTGGGCACCAGGAGAGCAGGTGTTCCTGCTGCAGGTGGGACACGTGTGTGGTCTCCACACCAGGATTGCCCCTGACTCCTCTGTGAAATCCAAACATGTTCTATCCTGTCCCTATGGCACCTCCAGGCTAGGGGAGGCAGTGGCAGTGATGAGAGACTGCTAGTGATGAGAGCTGAGCTGGGGCTAGATGGAGGGATGAGGAGTGACAGCCCCTGCTCAGCCTACAAGGGCAACACTAGAGGTTTCTGAAGGAGTTTCTCAGTAGGGTTTTGAAGCATGAGTAGGAGTTCCCCCCAGAGAAGTAGTCGGCACTGCAAAGCCTAGTGGTCTATTAAACGTCTACTGTGTGCCCCGTCCTGGCCTTTCCCCCTCTTCTGAACTCTGTAGAGGAAGCCTCTCCCTCTTTTCCTGAGCAAGCCACAGCTTGCCCAAACTTGCCTATTCCTGTTCTTTCTTGTCCTCTTTTTCTCTTCCCTTTCTGTGCTTTTTCAACTTCTCAGTCTTTGGTCTTGACCAGAGAGCGGAGAGGCAAGTGCTGGGGGCAGAGGCCACCGGTCTGGCCCCATCCTGTCTTTGGGGACAAAGCCACGCTCCCAGGGGACACTGGCCTCCCCCCCCCCCCCCCCGTCCCTGCTCCCGGTTGCTCCCGGGTGCTCCCGGGTCCCGCCTCCTGGCCCGGAGTCACCGGGTCCGCGGGGCGGGGCGGGCGAAGTCCCGGTGCATAAAGCCGCGGCCGGCAAACGGGGCCACAGCCATGCCGGGCCTGCCACTCGAGCTGCTGCGGCTGCTGCTGCTGCTGCTGGTGGCCGTGTCTTGGCCGCCGCCGGGGGGCGCCCTGGCCCCGGGCAAGAAGCCTCCCGCCGCCGCAGACCCGGATCCGGACCCGGCAGTCTACACGTCCCAGGAGCTGCGGAGACGCTTCGAGGAGCTGCTGGCCCGACTGCGTGCCAACCGGAGCGCAGAAGCTTTGCACGCCGAGCTCAGCCCCGCGCCCGCGGTCCGCACGCTCAGCCCGGAACGTGAGTGCCCGCTGGGTGCCCGTGCTCTTCCCTGGGGCTCCCCCGCTGGCCCGCCCCGAGCCTCAGTTTCCCTGCTGCGCAGAGGACAGGCAAACCCTCCTGGGCCTCCGGGAGCCGCCAGACCTCTGCGTGTGCGGAGATCCGGCTCGGCTCGGGGCTGTCCCGAGACGCCGGCGTCCTCCAGACGGCGCACAGCGCCAGGAAACTGGGGACCCTGGACAACTCGGGGACCCCAGTGGTGGGCTGAGAAGGGCGCGGGGGGCGGGCCGCGGAGCGGTTTGCCAGTCTGACGCAATCGCGCATCAAGACCTGGAGTCGGAGTCGCGCGCCGCAGGTGCCCACAGGCGGCGCCAGGCTGGCAACTCTTCGCTTGAAAACTTTTAAGTTTTTAGAGTTGAAGCTCCTGGCCGCTACTGCGGCCCCCCGCCGCCGCCTCGCCCCTGCCCTCTGCGCGCATGCTCCAGGGATCCTCAGGAGGCTGAAGCAGGAGGGTCGCTTGAGCCCAGGAGTTCGAGAGGCCAGCCCGGGCGACATAGCGCATATACATATGCTGGCCTTGAGCTCAGTGTGTAGCCCAGGCTGGCCTCTAACTCTCGGTGATCCTCTTGGCTCAGCTTCCCGAGTGCTCGACCCAATTTGTTTTTAAATTATTATTATTATTATTATTATTATTATTATTAATTTATTTTTGCGGAACCGGGAATTGAACTCAGGCCCTTGCGCTTGCCAGGAAGCTCTTAGTCTAACGAGCCATCTCCCCGGCCCCTACCTTCACGTCTTTATTAAGCACATACTGTGTGGGGGCCCAGGGTGACCAGGCAGAGGTCAGACTGACCGCAGTAGTGGCCCCTGTGACTGCAGGGCGCGGGATGCAGTGACCACGTGGGACTGGGACGGTCCCGGGCGTGAGCGGGGCTAGGGGTAACAAGGGTCCGGCGGTCCTGTGACGGCGTCTCCTGTCCCCCACAGTGCAGCCTGGGCCCGACGGCAGCCTGCACCTGCGCATCCCCAGGAGATCGCTGCCCCCGGGCGTCCCCGAGTTCTACCGCGTGCACCGCGCCCTGCTCCGCTTGTCCCCGGGGGCACCCGAGCCTTGGGACGTGACTCAGCCTTTGCAGCGCCAGCTGCGCCTCCGAGGATCCCGGGCGCCCACGCTGCTCCTGCGCTTGTCGCCGCGGTCTGACCTGTGGCGAGCGCCACTCTCCGGGCAGCCACAGCTGGAACTACACCTGCGGGCACGTGCCACCAGAGGGCGCCGTAGCACGCGCATGCGCACCAAGGACGACTGCCCGCTGGGGCCCGGGCGTTGCTGTCGCCTGCACACTGTCCGCGCGTCGCTGCAAGACTTGGGCTGGACCGACTGGGTGATGGCGCCGCGTGAGCTCCATGTGGGCATGTGCATGGGCGAATGCCCCAGCCTGTACCGCTCCGCCAACATTCACGCGCAAGTCAAATCGCGTCTGCACAGCCTGAGGCCGGACTTGGTGCCTGCACCGTGCTGCGTGCCCTCCAGCTACGAACTGGTCGTGCTTATGCACAAGACAGACAGTGGCATCTCGCTGCAAACCTACGAAGACCTCGTCGCCAAAAGCTGCCACTGCGCATGAGCAGGCAGGCCGCTGCAGAAAGCAACCGGCCCTCTCCACGCCCACATGGGGGCGTGGTCTAATATATCTCCGCCTACTTAGGGTGGGTCGATGTCTCGGCCCCTCCCCTCCCCTTCCTGATAACTATTTATAAACTCGTATTTATTGTTAATTTATTGGGGGTTTCCTGCTGGGGGGTGCACAGCTGACTCCATGGAATATGCATTTATTTAAAACTATTAATAAAAGTAATGTGCAAAGAAAGGGATCCTGTGAAGTTCAGCGTTGAGGTGGGTGTCTCTTTAGAATCCTCTCTGAGTTCGGGGCCCACTAGCTAGATTGTCTGTCACCACCCCGTTGTCTCCACTTTCAAGTCACTTTCCAAACCGCGGGCAACCCAGAGCTCTGGTTTAGTGGGGACGCAGCCTCTGGGCTCACACACGCAAAGAGCAGGAGATGAGGGACACTACCCCTAGCTCCTCCCAGCTGGGTAATCGTCCCCCTCTGTCACCTGCCTCTGCCCTCTGAGATTTGCAGCAGACCTGGGAAGAGGCCTGGGGGGGACAGATGCTCTGCTTCTGACAGGAAGATGTCCCCAGGGAGTGGCTCTGCCAGAGGCCAGCCTGAATGGCCACAGTGTCCCCAGATAGACTCAGGAGGCCCTGAGGTCACACAGTTGCCAGACAAATGGCGCCCACTGTGAGCCTGGACATGTGGCCAGAAATCCTAAGGGCCAGGAGCTATGCCAAGGGTTCACACAGACACATGGGCTGTTGGCTCCTTCCAGAAGGGAATGGGGGGGGTGCTAGAGGGGCCGGAGGTGTTGTGTCCCTAGAGTGGGACAGCTGAAGGACAGGCATGACAGGCAGGGACAGCAGCAGTGCCAAGATCCCGGAGCAGGTGTGGTGCCCGGGGGCAGTGCCTTTAAAATTGCGGCCTGAGGAGGCCTCTGAATGAGACTCCATGGCAGAGCTGGTTCGAAGCCAGCAGAGCCTCCATGGGTCTGTACCTGCTGGCCCCGGTGGATGCTTGCCAGCCCTGCGCTGGTTGTGTGGCCTTTCACGCTGCCTACCTCTTCTTCAGCACTTTTTTTTTTTTTTTTTTTTTTTTTTTTGGTACCAGGAATGGAACTCAGGACCTCAGGCTTGCCAGGCAGGCACTGTGCTGCCGAGCTCTACCCCGGGCCCTTTTGGTGTGCCTTTTCCTCCGCGCTTCCCAACCACATATGCAGCCCTCAAAACCTGCTGTAGATTGCCCTCTTGCACAGCAGCCTCAGGTCATACCCAATGGGGACCTTGGCCCCATCTCCCCTGCAGCCCAGGCTTGATGGCTTTAGGAGCAGGGCTGTCTGTGGCCAGCTCTGTCCCCCAGAGTGGGACATGGCAGGGGCCAGGCCAGGCCCAAATGACAGAGAATCCAGCTAAGGTTTGGCCTTGAATAGACTCGAGATACTCGGAGCAGGAACCCGGAGGCCCTCGGGACTGGGATCCGCACCTCCTCACTCCCAGGGCGCAGCTCCGCATCAGAATTAAAACATTTTGGACCATAGGCGGAGGGTGGCATTCTGGGTGACGCAGGAGACAGCAGGCAAAAGCACAGGGGCGGGGACATGCAGTCTCATACTTGCCAGGAGCCAGCAGCCTCGTCCGTCCGTCAGAGCATTTATTGAGTACCACCTGGTGCCATGGGAGGGGATGCAAGGGCTCGCCCCATCCTGCTGGTGCCTCCAGCAGCTGAGATGGCAGAGCCGGGACGTTCAGGACTGTGTTCAGAGACTGAGGCCAGAGAGGGCAGAAGTGCCCAAGTCACCCAGCAGGGCCTGGCAGGCTCAGTGCTCGGAGATCTCATATGCGTCTTCATGCGCTGGAGCCTGCAGGTTGCCATAGACAGGCTGTGCGTCCAGGCTGGGGCCCCTGTAGTTCATATAGAAGCCGCTGTCCTCAGGAGGGTGAGTCCTGTGGGCGACAGGTCAGCAGTGGGTGGCAGGTGGGATGCAGGGGGCTTGTAGAAGGCTCCAGGTGGCTGACTTGCCCCAGTGTCTAGAGACTGGGAGGGCCAGGCATGGTGGCATGCACCTGTAACCCCGCACTCAGGAGGCTTTGGCAGGAGGATCACTGAGAGTGTGAGGCTAGCCTGGGCTACGCGGTGAATCCAGGGCCAACCTGGATAGTACTGCAAGACCCTGTCTCAAAGAAAAAAAAAAAAAAAAAAGGAAGAAGCAGGGAAAGTGAGCTGGCCGGGTTTCCCCTGGGGAAGTGCTTGCAGTGGCCCCGGGAGGAGCTGCTGAGTCAGCTGGAAGCTGAGTCACTGGAGCCTCGCGCCATCAGTCAGGGTGTGTGGGCGGCTGTGCTTCCTTAAAGCCAGGACATATGCCGGTGCTTGTGTTCAAACCCACATGGCAATTTCTGGTGGGGCATGGTGACACACACCTGTGAGCCCAGCACTTAGAGGCTGAGGCAGGAGGATGCTTGTGACTTCAAGGCCAGCCTGGGATACATAGTGAGCTCAAGGCCAGCCTGAATAACAAAGGAGACTCTGTCTCAAAAAAAAAAAAAAAGAAAATCTGCCTTTTCTTTTTGCATCGTGGGAAGCCCTGGCCTGCAATGCAGGCCACAGCACTAGGAACCAAGTCCACTTCTCTCACAAGGACATTGGTTTGCAGTCTCTCTGTAGGGTAGAGCTGGGACCAGGTGCCTCATCACTGCCAGGCAAACGCTCAGCCCAGCCCATGCCCCCAGCCCCTTTTTCAGATGATTTATTCTGAGGCAGGGTCTCACTGTGCCCCTAAATAGCTCAGCAGGAGCTCAATGTGGCCATCCGGCCTGTCTCAGCCTCCTGAGTTCGCCCCTGCTGTCTTTCACACTTCAGTATGAATTGCTCTTCACACATTCACAGGGTTAGGTGGGGCCGGGAATCAGTTTCTCTTCCCCCTCACTGTGTGACCTGGGGCAAATCACTCTGGGGTTTCCTGTCTGTGAATGTAATGTGCAGGACAGAAAGGAGAGATTTGAGTCTAACCTGACCAGGCCTAAGAGGTGGCTGGACCAGAAGTAGCGGTCACAGAGTGACAGAGGTGAACATCAGGCCTCAGCTACCTGAGCAACGGGGGCTCTCAGCTGCCTACCCAGGACCACTTCCGCTTTCAGCCTCATTTGCATCTACTTTGCATGCGGCTGAGTCCTGACCACAGCCCAGGCCCCACGCCAGCTCAGGCATGCAGAAGCCACACTCCCGGGTCACTGTCCTTCCCTACGTGTCACCCCAGTGCTCAGCCTGGGGGAAGCCACCACCGGGAGCCAAGGCAGGGGTGCAAGGGGCCCAGCAACCACTTCAGCATCCTGTGTGCACAACGGGGATCTGGGCCACCATCATGCTGAGCTTTGGGAGCACCGGGTCACATGAGCCCCTGCCATTGAGGCCAGCTCAGCCCCTGTCCCTGAGCCCGTCTTCCTCACCCCAGTCATAGGCCCAGGAACTGGTTTGCAGCTCAGAAGCAGAGGCCTGCCCCCACATCCTGCAGGGCTTGGGGGCTGTGAATCTCATGAGGCTGGGCCCAGAGACTTGAAAAAAAAAAAAAATCACACAGCCTGAGGAGAGGGGCTGTGAGCTTTTGATTTGTTCTCTGAGACAAGGTCTCACTTTGTAACCCAGGCTAGCCTTGAAGTCACAGTGCTCCTCACGCCTCAGCCTCCCCAGTGCTGGGACGACAGGCGTGTGCCACCATATTCAACTTTTTTGGTTGGTTTTTCCATTTCGCTTTTGACCTGAAGTTTTGCTACATTACCCAGGCTGGCCAGGAGCTCCTGGGTTCTGCAGAGCCTCCTGCCTCAGCCTGCCAGGCAGCCATGATGACAGGTGCACACCACCACACCCAGCTGGCGCAGCAGGGATGTAACTACCACAGGCTCTGTATCTCTGTGTCACTCACCTGTGATCTGGCCATTGGTGCCCCTCTTCTGGCTGTCCCAGGAAGACATTCTCGTAATGGGGCGCAGCAATTCGGGGTGGTCTGGCTTCAGGGGCTTTGAGCCCTGAGCTGCGGCTGCTATACCGTGGCTGGATGCTCGAGGGGGTCCTGGCAGCATCTTGAGGTCCCCAGGCCTTGCCCTGGCCTTGAGTGCCGGCTGTATGGTGCCCGCAGTGTCTCCAGGCCAGCACAGAACCAGCCACAACAAGTGTGAGGAAGAGGGTGCTACCGGCCACCACCCCCCCAATGGCAGCCAGGGTCAGGCTGGGCGCGCAGCTGGCCTCCAGGAAGGCGGAGACGTTCCTCCAGGTGCCTGTGGCCTGGTGCAGGCAGTGCAGAGGCTCCTGGCTGGAGCAGTTGTCATGCCAGGCCCGATGCCAGGGACCCAGGGCACAGGTGCAGTCGGCCCTGAGTTCTAGGTCGCAGTGTGAGCCCAGCGCTGCGTCCACATTGTCCAGTGGGTTGTGCAACACACTGAGGACCCGCAGCTGCCGCAGGGATGTCAGGAAGGGCAGCGACAGCTCCTGTAGGCCGGTGCCAGACAGGTCCAGGACCCGCAGGTGGGGGGCCTGCAGGGGCTGATCTGGGTGCAGGCGCAGTGTGCGGCCGCTGAAGTTCAGGCAGCTGTCATTGAACACACGGCGCCAGTCCAGGTCTCCAGGGAAGACAGCACAGGTTGGCTCCTGGCCACTCAGCTTCTGCAGCCCCAGCAGCCCTAGGAGCAGCGCCCAGGCCAGCTCGGTCCCCATGCAGGCGGCCTAGGCAGGGAAGCCACCCTGAGCCCCAAGCCGCGGGTAGCAGCCCCTCTCCTGTGATAGCTCAGGCCTGCCACCCAAGCACGGGAGGCTGAGGAAGGAGGGTCTCTGAGGGCTTGAGGGCAGCCCGGGCTGCACGGCGAGGCCCTGGCTCAAAGACAGCTCAAGAGCTCTGAGAGAACAGCAGCCCCGCCTGTAGCCTGGCTGGCTCTGTCACCAGCCTCGGAATGGGGGAGGGCCCAGGGGAGCCCCGGCTCTGCTGCTCCCCCCACTTCCCCGCTCCCCCACTGCCCCGGTCTGCACCTTCACCACGCCTCCCCGCTCCTGTCCGTGCCCTTGCCTCTGTGGCACTGAGGACCCGGCAGCAAGGTTTGGGCCACTGCTAACCTGGACGCCCGGCCGGACACAGCGAGCAGCGGTGGTGGTTTCAAGGCCCTGAGGCTCTGTGCTCACTTGCTGGGCCCAGGGGAAGAGGAACTGGCCACCGCAGAGGGAAGAAAGAGCACAGAGATCCGCCCTCAACTCTGGGCAGGGGGAGGGGAGGCCAGAGGGTCCCAGTTCCTTCTTGCAGAAACTGGGAGACCTCAGGTCCTTCATTCACTCTGTGTGTGTGTGGGGGGGGCTCAGTCCACCTTGGGGGTGGGGCAGGTGCTGCATGTGATGCCAGGGACCAAACCTTGGTCCCAGCACACTTTCCTAAGCAAGCACTTTAGACCACTGAGCTATCTCGCTGGCCCCCTTCATTTACTTTTCCACTTATTGCCCTCAACTTGGTATACCAGCAACCTGTGAGATCATTTAGTCACTCAACAAACATTCATGCTGAGCTCTGGAAGAGGCCTGAGTCCTGGCCAGATCCTCAAGGAGCACCCAGTCTCAGGAGGAGATAAAACTGGGCAAGACATCCCCAGTCTATGGAGTCAGGGCAGGGCCAGAGGGAGGGAAAGAACCCTAGAGGACTTCCTGGAGGAGAAAGAGGAAGGGAAGGGGGGGCATTGGAATTGGGGCTTCAACGCATGAGCAGGAGTTTGCCAACTCCTAGCTGGAGCAGCAGGGTTAGGAGAGGAGTGGCCGGGTGGAGAGGTAAGAGGAGGTGGCCAGCATAGGCTCCTCTGACAGGCTAAAGACTCACCTCTGTCCCAGAGTGATGGGAGGCCAGGTGAGTGTAGAAATGAGGGGTACAGCATCCCCCAGACCAGGTTTACATGCAGCGTGGCCGCTGACTTGAGTTTCACTGCTCAGAGCTTCAGTCTACAGGTCTGGAACCTGGACCAGAGCTAGGGCTCCTCCTGACCTGGGGTGGGGGTGGGTGGGGGTGGGTGGGAGTGGGGCATCTTCCCCTCTGTTTCCATCTCTGCACCTTCAGTCCCCAAGTATAGAGGGAGGATCAAAGCCTTGGGGGTCCTCCACTCCTGGCTTGGGGTGCAGGGGTGCAAACTTTTCTGCTGCTGCTGGGGCCATGCCTGGCATCCCAGCACTGGGGAGGCTGAGGCAGGAAAATTGCCGTGAGTGAGTTTGAGGCCAGGCTGGGCTCCATAGTGAAACCCTGTTTTATTTATATTTTTATATATTTTTTAAAAATGTTTTTTGGGTTTTTTTTTAGGGAAGGGTCTACAGGGTAGTCAGGGTCTCACTACTAGATCGGACTCATAGTGATCCGCCTGTTTACAACCTCCCAAGAGCTGGGATTACAGGCGCACCACCACGCCCAGTCTCAATTACCATCTCAGCTTGCCCTGGGAGTGGAGCCTGCATGGCGGGCCCAGGGATCGAACCCCCGGCCCCTCCGCCTGCTTGCAGGTGCTTTAATCCACCGAGGTGTTTGGCCGGGCCTTATATTTTTATTTGTATACATGCATTTTGTGTTTCTGAAACAGGGTTTCACTGCACAGCTCAGGCTGGCCGTGAGCTCACCTGCCACCCAGGCTGGTCTCGAACTCGCAACGATTCTCCGTCCTCAGCCTCCCCAGTGCTGGGATGACAGGCGTGCGCCACCGAGCCCTGCAGAAACCTTGTTTAAAAAGGCAAAGCCAGGGCTGGGGAGACAGCCCCGCAGTCTGAGAGCCCACCGGACAAGCACAAGGACCCGGTTCTAGCACTCAGCTGCCCGCCGAGGCGGGGCATGGGTGCATGCCTATAGTCACCGCGCTGCGAAGGCTGACATAAATGGGTCACTACAAGTCCAGGCTAAGTGGTGGGACCCTGTACCAAATAAATAAAAGATTAAAAAGAAAAATAATTTTTTTT